ATGATGGAATCAACTGGGATACTGTCAAGAGATTGTACTAGTTTGATAACTGCCCACAAGTTTAATTACCAGAAGAAGAAAAAAAAAGTGACTTTCCTGAAACACTTGCTAGTCCAAGACACAACGTTACCCAAGCAAATACGTTGCATAGTAATTCTGGGATTTGGTGATTAAAATGCTCAAAATCAGTACTGTAGTCGAGACCATCACAAGACCAGACACAAGACCGGACACAAGACCATGTGCAAGACCATGCACAAGACTATTCATAAGACCTGTCACAGGTAACAGGTTGAACAATGACAAAGGAATGCTTTTTCTGCAGTTCCTGTGAATAGCTTGTGACTTGAATTTAGACTGGAGGTCTTGTGCTGGTCTTGCAATGGTCTGAAGAGCTCTCGACTGCAACGCTGATAAAAATAAAAGCCAAACAGGGGCAATTTCCTTTACCTGGAAGGAACAAAATCGTTAAGCAAATAGTAGGAAACGACTGTTGACAGGATGATGGAAAGCGATGTGGCAAATCCTTTCAAGATGTTATCCGCATACTTAATGACAGCTGCTATGATCAACCCACCGCAGGCCTGAAAAAAAGAGAGATAACAGTGCCTTCTCAAAGTGTCCTGAGACAAGCAGAACATTTTACATTTCGACAATAAAAATTTCTAAAATATCTTCCAAGGGTAGCAAGCACAGAATGAATCTGAACCCCCCCAACGTCACATCAACAATGATCGTGCAGGAATTAAACCAACAACTTTTCACAATTCAATGAAAAATGCCCACATGGCTTCAGCATGCCCAAACTGTGATTTAAGGAGTTGTTGCTTACTTGGAATAAGACGACGATCCATGTGAGATTATTGTAACCTTGGAAGAAACCTGCAGACCGGACCTTTTCCCCGTCGTTCATGATAACACCGCCCAAGCCAAATAAGACACCAAAGAAAGCTGCAGGGAGAAGAGAAAAAAAGGACAAATGAATCACAGAAATTATCAAATGATACAAAATGACGGTGCAGTTGTTGAAACCTGCATCGGCCTTTTTGGAGGAGTGTAAAGGTAAATTAATCTAATTTTGAACAGAATGATCTTGACCTTCAACCTTTCAATACAAAAGCAATATGGCCTTTGTCTATCACAGGTGAACCCTTTTATCCACTATTCATACAAAAATGTCTCAGGTGAAAAATGATTATTTTCAAAGCTGTTTTGGAAAAAAGAAATGCAGTGGCACACGTGAGGACAAAACTGTCAAGAATCTTGGGGAAAAAACTGATTTGAATCTTTCAACAGCTACATGTAAGGCCAAATATCACGAGGAAATTTTTCACAAAGTAATTTACCCTCGGGACAAACTACCACAATTTCCAACCTGGATGGAAAGATACTTTTGGGTATTGCAGCGTACAAATACTGACTACTGTGAGTGGTGTGCTAAAGTAACATTAGCTCCCCAAGGTGATCCACGAAGCATATTCTACATGTGTATTCCCAAAGTAAAGCTGCAATCAGTTGTTATGTATATACCGGTAGTGCTTTGGGTATTGTGGGTACAATACTTTTGTTGCAATGGGTGCAGCTCTTATGGCCTAGCACAAGAAGATAGTAAAAATAGCAGGTGTCATGTGACTCACTCTCAGCCAATCAGGACACAGAATCTGTGGGTGAGGTGTTATCATATCACACCCAAATAGCTAAGGGTTGAATTAACATTATTTGATTTTCCAATCAGAAAATGACATACAGGAAAAAAGGAAAAAATAGGAACAATTTGAAGACACTGTCAACAGGCACCCACCAAGTTGAATATTTCGTAGCCATATCGACTGCTTGGTACCCTTGAGTATCTTTTCAAAGTAGACACCTGCAAAACCACTGGAAAAGCAGGCCGAGAGTACAGCCACCAGGCCAATGAACTGGTTCTTGGATGGTACAGACTCACTCTTTTCTTGAGCTTGACTTTCTGCTGGCATCTGTTGGGAAAATAAAATGATTAAAATTAATCCAAAATCAAAGTAAAAGGTAATTTTTTGTACTTACAGTTAAGGGCTTTTTAACAAGCATAAAGTTATTGGTCATAATGTCAAGACTCTTAAATGCATTTTGAGTAAAATTTTTTATATTCAACTCACTTATAGTCTATACTTCCATCTATCAATTTCACTTTGGGTGATATTCCTAGTGACTACAGCAGCCATCTACCAGCCCATGGATAAACTATATGCCATCTTCAGTCATTTTAAAATCTTTTTATTGAGAAAACCATTACATCAAAACCACTTTTCTCATCACACAATGAAACTAAAAGGAGACTAACATCAATATTTTAACAATAAATCTGTAAAAAAAAAATTATTTGGTACTGGGTTCATTCAAAGTAACTTTTAGGGTCACAGTTAACATCAATTGCTGCTGAAGCTGGAAATGCAAGCCTGGCACAGACTTAAATGTAGACAAAAGGGCTTCATGGGGGAAGTTTGTAAAAAAGGGAGTGAGGGGTAGGTGTCAGATCCAATGAGGCAAACATGTTAATAATTCAACGATTACAGTGCAGGTTGAAAAAATCACCTCCGATGGTCTATGTTCTGTTGGAAAACCAACACGTATGACGTGATAAACTGATCAATTTTTCTTGTTCGGTCTCTATCTTGATTCCAGTACAGTTTCTGAGCATCAAAGATTGTAACAGATCTTATTCACAGGGGAGCCATGTTAATCTTGTTCCCTGAATCAATCATATTTGATGTATTCTATTAAATGGGGTGTGCCGCACTATTTTACATGTACATGTAGGTTCCAAGCCTCACTTTCATGTTTTTAAAATGTGGCTTACCAAATTTAAATATAATACAAGTACATGGATATAACAGAATTTCAATTATTCTAAAGGTAAACCAGCATGAATTTGTTATGCACTTTATTTTGTTGCCGTTATTTTTACTCTCAGGTTCCCAAAATGAAAAGTTAATCTTGCTTTCAATTCAAGATGGTCAACACATGAATACAGCCTAATCCCCATTGAAGTTACACATAATGTTGCCATCTGAGCCAGTTGTCCTATCCACTTCAAACTCACCTGTACCAATGCAACACCAGCCATGAGAAGCACCAGTGATGTCCACTTGTACGAGTTCAGTTTCTTGCTAAGCATAACTACTGAAAACATGGCTGTTGTCAATATCTTCAACTGGTAAGTAACCTACGGAGGCACACAAAAGGACAATTCCAATATGTCATGAACTGGAAAGTCAAATGCGGACAAACGTTAAAGAACAATCTTGCCCAAAATTATTCTTGACCCCAATGCGGGAAAGGAATCAACACCTGCTTGACTCTGGAGCCTCGGAGTTGACGGAGATGCTGAGTGGAAAATTTATCACCACGCAAGTCAGCTGCGAACCAGTTGCAAGAGGTGTTTACAATGTGTGATATAACGGCTGGTAACCAGAGGCAAGAGGGATATAAAGTGTCTGAAATAAGGGCAAGTTACCAGTGAAAGAGATGTATACATTGAAATAATTGCTGGTAACCAGTTGAGCGAGGTATACATTGTGTCTTGACATAACTGCTGGTAACCAGTTCAAAGAGGCATCTGCAATGACTTAAATGACTAGAAATCAGTTGCAAGAGGTGTACACAGTGTGTGAAATAATGGCTGGTAACCATATTATTAGCAATGCAGAGTTTTATGTGATAAGTAAATTTTTGCGCATATAATGGTGTTTTCTAAAAATGAGATATCCCCCCTTTGAAACTTCAAAACAGCTGTGCCCAATGTACAACCCCTCTGCTTCCAAGAACTTCACTGACTTTCAATCAATCATTGTGTTCAATGCCACACAGTAGTCCACACCCTCAAATTGATAATGAACTCTACACTAGACTATCTCTCTTCTCTTTCTGAGTATCCAAACCTAGTCATATTCCTGCCGTTCTTCTGATTTTTAAAATAATAATAACATTTATAAAGAGCATTTTTCCGAAGGTTACAATGCGCTGGGAAAAAAAGCAACTGCAGGAAAGTAAACCAGGTGCTAAGACAAAATTAGTGGGAGCAGATGACCCAAACCTAGAGTGAAAACAGATGAGATTTAAGTTTACATTTGAACTGTTGTAGGGAGTTGCAGTTACGAATACATGTGCTAAGATCCAGTTTTACTCTTGTCATTCCCGTGTCTCGATAGAAGGCCGGGACAGGGTTTTTTCTGTTGCTGTTCCCAGCCTGTGCAGCAATCTACACACCATCACATCAGGAACTCAGACAGTGTACATCGCCATTGAAATCTACTCTCAAGAAACATCTCCCCAGGATCCGGGGTCGTACATGTACCTAGCTGACTGTCTCGCTTTTATCTTCTTCTTGTTAGTTGTTATTGCTTGTTATTGTTGTTTGTTGTTGTTTGTCAAGCAGAAGCCCCAAGAATTAGGATCCAGGTATCATTTGCAAACCTGGCTACAAGGGCCAAATGTATTTCACAGAACAAAACACTCTGACCTGGTAGGTCGCAGCATCAAGATTGGACAATGCAAGGAAGAGCAGGTTGTTCTGTATTGTGTAGAGACCGGACGGAACGGCTAGCTTGAGCGTGTCAGCTGGTTTCTGGATGATCTGCTCTCGGATAATGGTGGCCAGATTGGACAGATTCCACATTCCTGAATTAGAGACGAACCATTTTTTCCCCATTTTAACCTAGCTTTTACAAATTATGGGTTAAACGATTAATGAGACAATAAAACTGAGATACAATTTTAATACAGGCTTGCATGTAGGTATCTTGGTGATGCCCTCAAAGTATGTTATTTATGTGGAGAGTAAGACTAGATAGGTATTTTTTTTCTTGAAATTTGTCACCTGCTCTGTAAACGGGTATGTATATGTATGTCATTAGTTTTCAAAAACAACAAAGTTTGCTCTTTTTCAGGGGCGAGGGGACATGACCCATGTTGTTCTTCAACTTGGGCCCTCAACTAGAATCAACTAGTACAGAATGCTGAGACTAGAGAGGTGCCTCCATCTTCTGACCTTCCCCTCCAAGCACCAGCAGAAGACACATCAGCATCTTGAACAGCTCAGCCATGACGATGGCCGTTGTGCTGAGGTAGCGCGGGCCTTCACCCTGCACCATGCGGGAGTACCTCAATGTCAGGACCAGCGAAGTGGTCTGCACAATCAGAACGCCCAGCGAAAAATACTTGAGGTTAAACTTGACCGCCGGCATCTGCAAAACAAGACAGGAAAATGGGATATTTCATCCTATTTCTAGAGTTTGTGATTTTTCAATTCACTTTTGTTCATTTTCTCTTTAAAATCACCCCATCTCACTTTCAATCATTTGAACTGGAGAAAATCATTCGGTCATTTTAACTATTCTGATTAACATGAAGCAGATGTAGGCTGTAACAAAAGGCTGCATAAGCTTTTTTGTCAAACACTTTTGCTCCAGTAGCTTGGCAAACAGAACTATACATTTTTAACGACCTGCGTACAAATGTTGTTAATTTGCCAACACGTACATGTACAGTATATGATTTTTTAAATCATTCTACCAGCAAAAAATTATGTTGCAATCTGCAGCGCCAATAAGCAACTGAAAAGGTATTTCAATTTATACACAATAGTTTGCACACATGTGTGGGTGGGTTCATGTGTACAGTCAATAATCAGCAAGATCAATATTTACAAAGAGTCCTATTCTGAATGGAAAAACAGTCTGCTCCACCACAGCTGCTGACGGGCTGCCCAGGTATTCACAATCCTCACTCAACCACAAATGAGTATCTCTCTGCAAAGGGTCCAACACACTGCAATTCACTATGTACCAGTGCAGCTTGTAAAAAATGCGCCTCTGCGCTTCGGTATTTAAACCTTAGTTTGGATTTTTGCTTTCACTCATTCAAAAGGTACTGGTATATTGGTGCCACTCTGGTTTGTTATGCTAATGAAAAGTTCGATATTCATGAGCAAAATTGTGATGTCATTCCAGGGACAACACTTCAATGTTTCACTGATTCATGCACAGAACACACTTGGAGTTTTGATACTTCGCTGACCCAAATTTTATTTTCTTTGATGATCAATTGTTGGATAAGAACATCCACTTGGCAGTAAGCCAAAGAGTAACGATTTCTCAGATATGTTTTCAATAGCAACTTTTCGGTTTGCATGTGCAATTTGAAAACAGAAACAAAAAAAAAATGAAAAGTGTCTTCCCTGATTGACATCATGGCAAGAGTGCCCAAAATTGTCAGGGTAAGCATGCACAATTTTAAATGTTCAGACAAGTTGCACTTTTCTTGTTAACCCCAAAGCGATGTCAAATAGTTTCACACATCACAAATCGAAAAAGAAAATACACATGCAGGTACACAAAAAGTGTTCCCAAGAAAAATTTATCCCACAGACCCTCTTCACAAAGACTGAAAAATGCTCTAAATACATGTAACTGGTCCCAACATTCTTTTGTCTCGCCTTCAGAAGTACCTCGGTATTCAAGACGCAGCCTTTGCATGGTACAAATCCTATCTGTCCAACAGAACTCAACATGTGTGTATCAGTAATTCCACATTGATCAGATCCGGTGGTCCTCAATTATTCTGTCCCACAGGTGTCAGTATTTGGCCCACAGTGGTTTACCCTTTGCCAGTTCCTGACATTATCCTGAAATTCAACCTGGACAGTCGTGTGCATGCAGATGACAACCAGCTCTAAAGTACACTTAAATCTTTGCAAGTACATGCTGACGCTGCTATTGAAGAGCTGGAGACATGCATACAAGAGATTCGTTCCTGGATGCAACAGAATTTTCTAAAGTTGAATGACGACAAGACAGAGTTCCTTTTTTTTTTGGCCACATCAACAATTATCCAAAGTATCAGTGCCATGCACATGTATTTCCATTGGAGATGCCTGAACAGCTCCCTCGCTGCAGGCTTGAAACTTGGGCATCATTTTGGATTCATCAATGACACTTCAACCACGCATCAGCAACATCATTCGCCTCTCTTCATTTCACATCAGTGTGAAAAGGCCAAGGTTTACTGCAGAATTGATTGGAATAGTCAGTTCTCTCACTACAGTATCAGTGTGTCCATTATGCAGGAAAATGTGCGGACTGAGGTTTGTTGTACATATTGCAACCGGCATTGTACTGGATTCCTCATACGACATCTGGAAGGTCAACCTACAAGACAGACTCCCTGTCTATATAGTTGGACAAGTACTTGGACAGAATCATGTCTCCATGTGTAGTGCCCCAAATAAAGAGACTTTTCACGTGCATTCATTATGTAAACGAGGGTACAGGTACATCTACTAGTAAGTTTATGACAGAGATGACATCTAGAGTCAACTTGGCATCTTGACAAGTTTACAGGTGTGGGTAGGGTGTCGCATCCTGCTCGCATCAGGAAAGCCAACTGACCACTAGGCAGAATATATGTTACTCACTTTCATGCATTGGATTCACCCTCTAGCTGATGATGTCTGATAGCTTTGACTGCACTTGAAGTTTCTCAATGAAGATCATGACTGGCCTTCACCAGTTCCTTGATTTTGTGAGGTATCTGTAGTGTTGTTGATAACCAGTTCTCTAACCAGGTTTGGCTGATTCAAAGATTGTAGGGATGGCACTGCCCCAATCACTCATGCCGATGTGCTTGTAGAGGGAATCTTGAAGATTTTGAGTTATGAGCAAGTCCCTTCCGTGTTTAAAGATTAAGAGAACCAAGTTGATTTTGCGTTTGTGTTCCAGTTGGGGCAGGTATGGAAGATCAAGTGTTTTGGTGTGAAACAACATTGCCAACGTTGCAATTTAATACATACAGGAACAAAATGTTAACTTGCAAATCTCCACATAACTTGACAAATATACAAATTGCTGTGGATGAATCACCTACATTTCAAGTTGAACATTTGAAACTCTCAACCCTGCTTGGAATTAGCAGTTGAATTGTTTTGTTAAAAACTGAAGATCTACTTTCCATGCGTAACAGCTCCATTCTGAGTGATGTATATGTACATGTTCTGAAAAGCTTAATACATGTGCATGTATTAAGCTTTTCAGAGTATCTATCCAGATCCCGAATATGCTCAACATTTCACAAGGTTTTCAGGAACATGTTAATACATGTACATGTACTGGAACGAGGCTGCAATATTGCACTGACATTCTCTGGATAATCTTACCGGCAGCAATGAATCTTGTTCAGCTTGGTTGGCCGAGTTACCTGTAGTACTTGCCTCCACCATGTTTTTCTTTTTTTTTCAGAGAGATTGGTCTACTGATACTGTTATCCTGAGAATACAGTATGTGGCAGTCGTTTGTTGAAATAAATTCTCACTAGTCCAATAAAAACACTGATAATAAATGCTAGCACCTGATTACTCGGCAAATACATGTATTTAATTGTCTACATACATGTACATATTCAACAGTAAACAAAATGAGCTAATGAATAATCAACTACTGTGTGAACAGATGGCCTCTGTTTATAAGTGTTAGATTACTTGTGGAATAATTAAAAGAAAAATGATTTACAAATACATACCTTCCTTGTCAGTCAGTATTCAGCACACCACCAGCTCAGCGCATGGCACAACCAGCGGCCTTGATACTGTCTGCGTACAACCCCACCACATGCACAGTACCACCACCTGACAGGACTGTGCCTCAATGGTCGAACTGTGAACTAGCTTACATGTACGTGTACATGTATGCCTGCCGACCAACAAATGTTGGCAATAGTTGGCTGACACACCTGTTCGGTTAGTACACAGCCACTGCTCACCTGCCAGTCTATCGTTTCACTGACCTTGGACAGTGCTAGTGTGAAATGCCAGATCTATCCAATTTAGACTGTTCAGCTATAGTTGTCAATAAAACTAAAAGGAAAGACAAAAAACGTGTACCGACTAATTACATTGTTCCTTCCTCCATGATTAATTGTACACACAAAACACAAAACATCATCTGGAATAAATAGCGCCCTCTTAGGGTGTGGAATGGGATAGATCCACTGATTCAATATGGCAGCGCCCACGGTTCGTCAAATTTTAACTCAGAGTGCCAGAAATTCTCTCGTGTTTTCGTCGTATAAGAATAGATTTACAACAGTGCAAAGTCCTTCGAAGCAACATGGAAAGGAGGAACTAGAAAAGAACAAATATTTTGACAAATATGCAGAAAAAATCAAGAAAGCACAAAGGTCTGTACCGAGCTCGATTAATCATGTTATGTAAATCTAGTATTAAGCGTAAGAATAAGCTTTATCATAGGTTTATGTCGAACCCCACAGATGCAAATCGCACGAAATACACACGCTATAAAACATCTTAACTAGTGCTATGCGTACCTCTAAACGTAATTATTATACTTCGACAAAGAAAAGGGTTACAATATTAAAAATACTTGGACGATATCATAATTTTGTGATATACATGTATACATGTAGGCCTACTCCACACTAGCCCTTAACCACAAATAAGTACTATAAAAAAAAATAGGTGTCACTACTAGCAATCTGCACTTGATTACTAATCATTTTGATGATTTTTCACCAACATTGGTGAAAAAAACCTCTGTAATCAAATTCCTTCTAATGATCTCAATTATTCTGATTATTTACTTGACCTTCAACCTAATTCTATATTCTTAAGTCCTATTATTGAGGAAAATATAATTGATATTATTGTACATACATTGCCAACCAAAAAGAGCTTTGGCTTTGATTTAATTAGTAATTCACTGGTTAAGGAAGTGATCCGGTCAATCTCTGAACCGTTAACCTTTATTATGAACACGTCTATATCGACAGACGTTGTACCAAATGATATGAAAGTTACTTGTGTCACTCCTCTTTTTAAAAGTGGTAATCTTGATCACATAAATAATTATAGGCCTATCTCTGTTCTTACTACTTTTTCAAAAATTCTTGAACAAATAATTCACAACCGTATAATGGACTTTCTAGGTGAACACGACATAATTTCTGATTCTCAATTTGGATTCTGTGAAAACCACTCAACTTCACATGCTATTAATCACCTAATTGATAAAATAACTAATAATTTAGACACATCCTCTGTTACATGTGGTTTATTCCTGGACCTGTCCAAGGCCTTTGATACATTCAATCATAATATACTTCTAAACAAAGTTGCTTATTATGTTATTAGAGGAACCGCCTTGGAGTAGTTCAGGAGTTACCTTTCAAATCGTCAACAATCCGTCTCTGTTAATGGTACTCAGTCCTCGGTCAGTACAGTTTCTCATGGAGTTCTGCAAGGATCCATTCTGGGGCCAGTTTTTATTTTCTATCTATATAAATGACTTTGTTCAATCTTCTGACTTGTTTACCTTTATTTTACTTGCTGATGGCAGTAACCTATTCAATAGTCACCCTAATATTAATACTCTTTATCATAATGTTAATCTCGAGCTCACTAAAGTTTCAAACTGGCTTAAAGCAAATACGTTGTCTCTTAATATTAAGAAGACTAACTATATGCTCTTTAGTAATAAGCAACATCACGAATTATCTGAAATCTTTAATGAGGATGTACAAATTAATAAAACCAATTGTGTCAAATTCTTAGGTCTGTATATTGAACAGAATCTTTCATGGAAAAAACAAATCAATAATATTTAAACAACTGTTTAAAAAAATATTGGAGTTACATGTAAACTAAAGCCATTCCTCCCTCAGGATGCACTATTTAAACTTTACAATACTTTAATTGTACCATATTTATCATATGACTATGACAAAGACTAAAATCATAAAGTTGATCCCTGACGCAGAGTACATGTAGGTAGAGCACAATACAGCAAACCTGTTTGCTGTATTAATTAAAGAATATGATATGCCTGGCATAGTCAGTGTTTTGGATGGCTGCAAATTTTTTTCCATTACAGTCTGTGCATGGTTCCATGCTTTACAGGTACATAATTGTCGCTGTGACTTCATACCCACAAGATAGGATTTGGACTTTCTTGCATGTGAAATACAATTGATAACATTGAAAGGGGGAAATAAGCCATCATATTGGTTCCAGCCGGCTGTTCAAAAGACAATCTGCAACTGGATGATGGCAAAATATGCAGAAAGATTTCCATATTCAGACATCACTTGACTCCTTGTGCACAAACCCTATGAGACTGGTTTAAAAACGGTCTTTTCTAAGGAAACGTACTTAATACTTCCCCTGCCTAATTTACGTTTTTAGGGCTTACTGCTTCCTGATGGCTGATGCAAGTGAATTATTGCAGGGAAAAATTTGACTGAATGTTTGTGTGTGGAATTCTTCCCATAAGTAAAAGGAAAACAAGTCACAAGTCTGAAAATAAATTTGTGTTTTGAAAATTGGCAAACAGACCAGACATGACATGTAGGTTTAGGCTGTGAATATTTCAGCTTTTCCTTCCCAAGAATCACTGCATGGGTGTGCAGACGGAGTTGCATGTAACTTTTGCTTTTTTCTACTCTATTACAGTTCCAATCCCGACAAATTTCAGTCCAAGTTACAAGATATGATGGAAATCAAGAAGGAGAAAAAATGGCGGGACGAACTGGAACCTCCTAGACCTACTGTAAGCAAATGGTTTGGGCTGCATTATTACAAATACTGTACAATACTAATGGTAATTCTGTACAAAAGTTTTAATCAGATGGAAGTTGAACAGCACAGTCAAATATGTTTGCATCCATCTTATCAACCAAATCGTCTTATAGTTTAACACTTTCATCAGAATTAGAAGTCCTTTTTGCCAGATGACACATCACTCGCAGAAAGGCCATATGCACACATTGCATGCCTGTCCAACCAAGAAGGTATCGCAATTTGCCGAGAGCACATGTGCGTTAAGTTTAAAAACACAGGTGTGACTGCGGTACCACCGTTGTTTTGCCATCTTCTCAGATTAGTCTGTAAACATTTAGTAAACTGTTTTCAGTCGTTTCTCTTTCCAGTGTGATTGTTCAGTTCAAAGAAGTGTTTCTTGTAACATACTTTTTTTCACCCCTTCCCTCCCCCAAAGTGCTTTAACATGATCTAAGCAAGCATTCTGTCCTCTTCTAGTTTGTTTTAGGGAACAATCCCAGTGCAAATGATCAGTTCTATCCAAGGGGGCCAAATTAAAATCTATAGTTCATGGATGCATGTATTTACCATTACACAGACCTTTTATGCCCAGTCTTAGGTCTAAAGTTGCTTGAGTCTAATATATGACACTTGAAAATTTGAAAAATCAACTTCATGAATTCCAGTCACTTTAAATATTTAAAAACCGATTCCTAACAACACTTCCAGTGACTAATTCCTGATTTCAGATGAACAGTTTACAGGTCACCACTTTTGAATCATTTGCAGAAATCCAAGAACAAAGTACATGTACCAAAGCTGCTGAAGACAACTCAGAGTCCATCATCAACACATGTACGTTCTGTTTTAACAGATGTAAATACGCTCATTCAAAAAGCACAGTCGATGGGAATGTGAAGATACAATTACAACAATAGCAACAATCAGTGTGTCGTTCTAGTTGTGAATTACATGGATTAGAAATCAGACAAATTTGATACCACCCATTGATGCACTGCTTTACCTGATATATCGCAGATAAATAAAAGTTGATGAGCACACTTCAGACTTCAGTTCCTCCTCAATTATGTCTGTTGGCCTCCTGGTCTCAAAAGAAGAACTTTGAAAAGTGGATGGATCGAGAGAATCAACTTTTTCATAAACAAAAAATCAAGTTTTTACTCTTGAAAATGTGGATGATTTTTGACCAGTACTTGTAAGGAGATACAGTGATAGAAACTGCTGTTTCTCAAATGAATATTTTCCACTGGTAAATTCAACACAAGTCAGCACAGCAGGAGAACATTTTGAAAAAGGATAGAAGCACTGTACTTTCTGCTGTGCTGAATCTTGTTTGTGGATTGTGATGCAGGGTTTGGATTCCATCATGAAGATTGACATGATTCAAGACTTACCACGAGAGGAAATTGAGAAAGTAAGTACCGGCGTACACAGCACCCATATTTCTGACACATTGTTGGAGTGTCTTTTAATACTGAGTGTGACTTTGGCTATCATTGTATTGCCTGTCTATTGAACTCTTCTATTCTGTGAGAGTGACTGCTTCAAGAATAAAAATAACAAGCACCAGAAGATGCGATCTTCTGACAATAGGGAAATGTATGAGAAAAGAACTTAGGGTTATACTACAATCAGGTGAAACATTAACCTAATTAGTCTTGAATTAGTGTCAAAAGTTACCTTGGTGATTTATATGAACACTCATTGTTTCCCAAATAAGGTTCGGCTTGTGGTTGCACCATGTACAAGAAAATATCTCTTTTGTGACTGTGTGGTTCTGAGAAGAACCGATGGTGAACCACAGAACCACAAAAGAGATATTTTCTTGTACATGGTGCAACCGCAAGCCTAACCTAACTTAGTACTTCCACCATACATAGCTTCAAGTCTAATCATTATTTCCCATTGATATTTATGGCTCCCATTCAATTGAAGGCACGGTTATCATGCAGGGTCAGAAGGAGAAGTTAGTTGTATGTATTTTGTAATATAAATATGTACATTTCTTCTGGTAAGAAGTAAATGTCAACTCGCTGCTGCAGAATTTGGAGAGCCTTGGCAATGGTCTGCTTTATGTCCTGATTCTACTGCACGCTCATTACTCATTCAGAATTATTTTCTTGTATCCTTCCCCCAAAAGATATGGACTCAGTATCACATGAAGAAAGACTGCATCAGTGCTGCCATACCAGTGAGTTGCATCCGTGTCATTTGGGGAAAAAAAAGCAATTCCATGCAAAAGTGAAATATTGTTGTGTTGTCACTGACCGCGGATACAGAAAAGGAGGATTTTGTTTTAAAGATAGTGGAAATGATAAAAATACCTTCACCTTTTTTTTCACTTTCAATTATTGTAAAATGTCTTTTTGTTTGTGAATTATGATGAATAATGATGTCATGACCAACTTTCCACTTTGCGTAGAACTGCCCATTGAATTGAAAGGAGGGCAATTCCACATAAGGATGCCTAAAATGCCGACTCCTTGATTTCATTTGATACCAGAGTGGCAAAAATAATAACACGGAGAGCAATGATTTTCTTCAACACATTTAGTGCGTTCCCATTGCATCTCCTTCCCTAAATCTTTACATCAGGTCTACAGGACAGTACTCTTCACAAATCTTTTTCTGTAAATTTCTGATTACTGTTGAGTCTTATTTATTCCATAGTAATGGCATAAATATATAGAGAGACATACAGGAATTTGAAATTTGTTTTTTAAAACAGGGAACAACATACGAGAAGATTTATCAAACAGCACAAGAGAACCCTCTGGTAAGTTAGAGTGATGTTCCATTTTGGGGTTAATCTTTCAATTTTATGGTGTATGTGTCATTTAGATCTACAGACAATTAAATATTAATATGAATGGAATTTTTATTGAAATGAAACATTCAGATGTTGTGAGTAGAGAAATTTCTAAACGCATCAATGTTGATATGCATGTATACAGAGTATTATGTTTACTTTCCTATCTCAGCTGGATTTATCTAGCTTTTGTTTTTCTTTCTTACCGTGCAGTTCTTGTACCCACTGCCCAGGAAAGCTGGGTATGAGTTCTACTTTGCTCAGTTTGATAACAGCGACAGCTTCTACTTCACATCTCTCATCAACTACCAGGTATAAAGACGTAAACACAAATAGGCTACAAAGGGTCCCACGCTGAGTGTTTAATTTGCTCAAAATGTAGCCTGAACCGAATTAGTTTGGACTGAGCCAGGAATGCAGATGACTTCAAATAACTTTGTGACTTCCCTTCCATTTGGTGTGGAAGTTAAAATCATTTCCAGATTTCTAATGATGTGCCATGCCCAATTTGATGGCACCACAGGCGTTCACTGCAGATCACTGCTAGAATGAAAAGTCAGTACACTGAGTTCAAACTGTGCCCAAGTGAACTCATTTTGTAAATATGGCTTCAAACAAGACTGAAATGGGCTAGATATGTATCTCCGTTTCCTACAGGATTAATTAGAATTTGCAGAAAGGTTTTTCTCATCCACAGCCGTGAACTGTTTGTAAATTTTGTTCACAGGCTTATCAGGAGAACTCTCCAATACTACTAAGCATGAAACACTTCACAGAGCTTCAGAAGGAGAAAGGTATGCCTGTACTGGGCCACTGCAATGGTCAAGCCAAGTTTGTGATTTGGTGTCTCTTCATACCTTCTTGTTGATCTCAAGGGGAAAGTTGTAGAAACGATTCTGATCAGTGTGAGCAGTGAGTCAGGTTGGCGTGGTGGTTCTTTTATTGTCTAGCGCTTCTGCGGCCGGGCTCAATTTCTGGCTTGTCCCACATGTGAAAAGGTTTTCATTTCCAACCTGTGTCCGTGGGTTTTTATCCAGAAAATATTACCAGGGTTTTCCTTCCACCTAGAAAACTGTAACTACAGGTTTTCTTCAGGCTTTGTGAGTTGCAGTGCCTAGAGTACTCTTGACAAAATTCCTGGTTTCATTTTCAGGATTGTTGATAATTACAACAATAACGTAAGGCTGTGTCCAAATCAAGTAGCTATGGCAAGGAGCAATACACGTCTATAGCACTATGAAAGACAGAACCTAACCATAAAATTGGAGACTGGCTATTGACTGAAAAGACTTTTTTTTACTCAGGTATCGTCCTTATGCGAGGGGAAATGGACACAGATTTATTGGTGAGTTTTTTGTTTTTTCAAAGATTTGGAACAAGCTTTTTCACCAAAATCAGTTCCGTGGGCTCATTGTCGCCCATTATTTTCTTACTGTTAGAGAAGCAAATGATTCACTGTTGTAGTAAAAAATTGATATAATGGAATTCAGTGACAAATTCTGTTTAGCGTTTGAAAAAAAAAACTGTGGTTTCTTAATAATATTGTACAAAATCTTGAAAACTTAACTTAAATTCAAAGTCATCAATTCCCCAAAAATTTATATTGAAAACTGTAAATCCTGTGCTTTCTTTACTCGGAAGTTTGGTGAGGCACTTTTAATTTTGCATCAACAACATGTGTCACATAATGAATGTGAAATACATACACCTTGCTACTGTTCCCAATCCCGAACCCCCCCCCCCAAAGGAACATCATCTGATAATAGGTGGGGCTGCCCATTGCTGCACCAGGATATGGCAGAATAACTCATTCCCACTTTGTCCGGCAAATCCACAGAGCGTACAGGATGCCCAGTTTTTAGCCAATCAGCTGCAGCTTTATTATGCGACGGACAACTCAGACCGGTTGAAACTCCTGCGTACGTTCAACCATCACCAGGACGAGTTCAAACATATGGATGTCATCACCATGCTAGAGAGAAGCACCTTTGAGCTTCCCTCGGCAACTCCAAACAAGAAAGACTTATGAACTGATACCAAAAGGCAAACTGATTTGAGCAGTTTTTATACTGGTGGATATGAATATATGGACCAGCCAAGAGGGCACTAGTGCTTATGTTCATGCCCTGAGTGATTGAGAATGAACATACAGGCATGTAAACTGCACATTGGCCGATAGAGGGATTTCACATTAGCGCCATCTGCGCATATCCGCATCAAAACCAAGGCTGTCTGTGTTGCAATTCGTTGCGTGCGCCTGCGGAGTTGACACAGTACATGCAGTATCCGGTTCATAAGTGTGATGCCACTTCAGTTTAAACCACGCCCACTGCAGATGCACGACCATCGCAGGTATGTTAGTTCCTGGTAAATTGTCGTAGTTTTTTTTTTTTTAC